AGGGGGTGGAGCACAAATCTGAGCAGGAGCAGCTGAGGGAGCTGGGGATGTTGATCCTGGAGCAAAGGAGGCTGAGGGGAGATGACCTGGCTCTGCAGCTACCTGAGAGGAGGTTGGAACCAGGAGGGTCAGGCTCTGCTCCCCAGGAACAAATGATGGGTCAAGAGGAAATGGCCTCAAGTTGCACCAAGGAAGGTTGAGGTTGGATATGAGGAGAAACTTCTTCACTGCAAGGGTAATTAAATGCTGGCATGGGCTGCCCAGGGATGTAGTGGAGTCACCATCCCTGGGGATGTTTAAGAGCCATGTAGATGTGGTGCTGAGGAACAAGGCTTAAACACTGTACTTGGTGAAGTTGGGTTGATGATTGGTAGAGCTGGGTTATGGTTGGACTCGATAATATTAATGGTCTTTCCCAACCAGAATGATTCTGTGAAACTCCTCATTTTATGAGAAACATGACTTCTCTGGACTATGAAACTAAAGAAGCAGAAAACTTCTAATGCCTTTTGCAGCAACACGTACCTGAACTCCTGCTCTGATGACCTGACCTATACTTGCTCAACTCTGCCATGGTTGGCAGCACCTGTGCAGCCCAACATCTTGTTTTCCCTTCACCTGCTGCTCTTAGGGCAAGGCAGGTGGTCCTCACCACCAAGGCCAAGCCTACCCAATGGGAGCAGCTTGCCATACTTTCAGTCTGGAGAAGTATGGAGAGATGAAGGTGAGGCATTAGTCTGCTGGAATGAAGGGTCTTTTCTTTCCCCACCACTTGGAGGAAATCCCTTGTGAATGCCTCTCTCTGGGTCAACAAGCCCCTCTCCAGGCTGCTCCTCACCCTCACTTCTTCTGCTCTGCCATAAATTGATCACCAGCTGTATGAGTCCTTCAACTAGTTGCATTTCACCCAGGTTATGAGTGAGAGGGCAGAGGACAGAATGCTTTGCCAAAGCCTCTACATTTTTCTAGGCTGATGTCTCAATTTGCACATTATCTGGAGTAGCTGAATTTCCTTTTTGAGTTTCTTCTTTTGTCCAATACCTTGATGAGGCAGAAAGCAATGGAGATCTGGTGTTTCACACTGAAAAACAGCCATAATTGCAGCTCGATTTAATGTAAAAAAGTTTTGGTTTTTTTTCATCTTGGGAAGGTTTTAGAAAAATTCTGGAGGAGGAGATACCGAAGATGAGCTGGGTCTAATAGAACCAGCTGCACAGGAATCTGGAAATCAGCCCATTTGGGAGGAAAACGTTTGCCCTGAAAAGAGGTGAAGACTCAAAAATGGGAAGAAGTTTGTGTCTGGCTGTCAGCAAGACTCCTGCAACTGAGCAAGGAGAGGAGGCACAGGCAGAACCTGCCTCTCTCCCATGAAGCAGGAATCCCTGGCTCTTGGCAGAGATGTTGCAGATGTTTTGCTGCACTTCATGTGGCAGGTATGTGAGCTAGTGCTGAGGAGAGACATGATTTTAATTTGTGGTATTTATCCCAGAACTAAATACTTTAGCACCACGTACTGCATTGGCTGGCAGGTCCAGCAGCTCTTCCTTGTGTTGGTAAAAAAGCTCCTGGGGATTCTCCCCTCTTGTGAGACCCCCCTGCAGGGCTGGGGCCAGGCTGGGGTCCCCAGCACAGGAGGGACATGGAGCTGTTGGAGAGAGGCCAGAGGAGGCCCCGGAGATGCTGGGAGGGCTGGAGCAGCTCTGGAGCCAGGCTGGGAGAGTTGGGGTGTTGAGCCTGGAGAAGAGAAGGCTCCAGGGAGACCTGAGAGCAGCTTCCAGGGCCTGAAGGGGCTCCAGGAAAGCTGGGGAGGGGCTTGGGACAAGGGCAGGGAGGGATGGGAGCAGGGGGAAGGGTTTCCAGCTGGCAGAGGGAGCTGGAGCTGAGATGGGAGGGAGAAATTCTGTGCTGTGAGGGTGGGGAGAGCCTGGCCCAGGTTGCCCAGGGAAGCTGTGGCTGCCCCATCCCTGGGGGTGTTGAAGGGCAGGTTGGATGGGGCTTGGAGCAGCCTGGAATGGTGGGAGGTGTCCCTGCCTGTGCAGGGGTGGGACTGGGTGGGCTTTAAGGTCCCTTTCAACCCAAGCCATTCTATGATTCTTTGATTAGCAGATGTACTATATGTAGCCTGCTTAATTACTTTAATTATTCCACTGTTATGTTAAGTGCAATAGAAGAAACTTGGCTTTTATTCCACTTGGATATAAAATGCTAAGTTACAGCACAGCTCTTCAAGGTAAAGTTCACTGATACTATAAAAAACACTTATGTGTTCTTTACTGCCAACAACTGTAAAAATAGGGTAAGTAAGCTCTGCACTGTGAGTTATCAGCAGAAATGTAACTAGAAGCTCTCAGACAATTAGCCTCGATGGATCCTGAGTGCTCTGGCACCTACTTTAAGTGTGGACCCCAATTAAGTTACCCATTTTCACTGGACCCAAATAAAGTTGTTAAATTTTATTTTCTGAGCGTGGAAATACTTTTATGATCACGAGATGCATTATTATCTTGTGATTGTTTATGAAAGGACAAGTCACTTAGGAATAATACCTGGCAAATCTAACAGGTTAGAAATTGAGTTCAGAACCAATAAGGAAATGGAAGGTGTGTTGAAATATTTACAGCATAAGGGAGGGCTCTAAAGAGGCCTCCCACACCAAGCAGAATAGACAAAATTTAAATACTGAAAATGGGTTCACAAACAAATTATTTCAAAATGTGATTTTAAAATGTCCTGTTGTGGCAGGAAAAAACTGTATTTAATCAATGTGCATTCTTAGTCTTGCCTCTGTGTTATATTTTCAGTAAGATCAACTCTGAAAGGCTGAGGCATTAAAATAGTTTACCAATTTCCCACAAACAGATGTTTTTCTCGCCTTGTGCCCTCCACTTAAATGTTTTGGGGGCTTAAAATACTGGAATCTTGCCCAGAGAAATAGGATGTTTTCATCCACTTACCCTTCACACCACTCATGGGAAAATGATAACACAGGACTTCAAAGAAAGAGGCTTCCTGATGCCCAGTAGAGGGATGCTCAGAAGTGTGTTTAATGCAGTAAATGTGTATAACTCACTCAGACATTGCCACATTTGGAACTGAGTACAGAAAGAAAACACAACAGGGAGCTGCACACAGACTGGTGGGCAACACTGAGAAGGTACAAGGCTTGCAGCCTATCAGAGAACCCTGCAGAAGTGACAGCTGGCAACAAACCTTTGTGCCTTGTCAAGTTTGGCTTTTTTTAGACAAAACAGGCTCGTCACTGATTCCGTCTTCATGAATAGTAAGTGGCTCTTTGGGCAGCATAAAGTGGAGAGTTGGTTACACAAGCTTTGCAAATAAATTCTTTAAAGTCAGCTTGTCACGAGAGCATGTCCAGCTCTTCAGACCTTCTGCAGAGCCATAACTGAGCATTCTTTCAAACAGACAAACAGGGGGATCAAAATAACCCGTCGTGCCAGGAACCGGCTACCAACGTAGCTGTAAAAGAAACAAACCCAGGATGATCTGTCATGAGCAATGCAGCCAACATGTAATTCTTTAGACAAATATATACACATCTGCTCGCAAAGTATTTCTAAATAGTCTTTTCAAAAAGTATAGTTAGAGTAGTGCAATATAGCTTCATCAGCAATGGCAACCAATGACTGGTAGGTAGGTAGCCCAGGGAGGACCCACAGGAGTGGCTCCTCTCCAGGACATGGTCCTGCTGTTCTCCCCCAGGCAAAAAAAAATCCCCTTTAATGTCCCCAGGAGCTACAACTAACAGCTGTGCACAGGGAATCCCTTAGGAATGGAGTCTCTGCTCACTAGAGGGGGGGAGCTGAGCGTGGAAGTCTACATGCAGCTATCAGAGTATATCCCCAAGTACTCGTTATGCAGTGGCCACTAAGACTTCTGAAATGTAAACGTTTCTCATCTATGTCCCACGAAATTTATAAAATAATGCAGTTTCCATGCAGTAGGGCACAATTGTTTCAGAAGAACTGACTACATCATTAGCTAAGGAAATAAACCCGGAGTATCAGTTTTACCACAGCTGCATTTTTTTTGTTGTTGTTTTGTTTTGTGTTTTTTTTTTCCTCTACACTGATATTTCACATTGGTAACAGGTCATGTGTGATATCATAATGCTTATTAATACCATCTGGTGATCTGAAAGCAAAAAAAAACCAACAAAAAACAACGAACCAAAACATTTCCTGCGAGATTTCCATATTAAAATAGTTATGTGCACGGAAGGTGTTCATAGCGTGACACCCAAAGCAACATGGAGTTAACTTGTTAGTATTTCCATTACAGCAGAACTATGAACTTCATTCACTAAACCATGTAGTACAAATGAAGGTTACTGGTACACATAGAAAAATCAGAGAGGCAGTCAGTTACAAACCTGGCAGTTGTTTTTTTTGAAAGAGACAAGAGATTTTTAGGTCTTATAATGGAATGATAAAAACGGCAGGAACTTCTGCTGGGAGCTCCAGGAAAAGAGATTTTTGCACTTGTTGTTTCTCATCATCTCATGAGCAGCCCCACTGCACAGGAAAACACTGCACCAGGAGTGAACATCAGGGTCTGGAGTTCACAAAACTCTGCTAAAACTTAAGTGCAGTAGGCTCCACTACGTTGTATTTCTCTTGAAATGTATAAAACATAGAAAATCGCAATGGTGACTGACTGAATAAAAACCATCAGTGCTCACAGATAAAACCTGACTGAATTTTGGAGTCAGATTTCAATGTGCACCTTTTTGCAGGTTTTGGTCGGTGTGTTTGGAGTATTTCATCAGGTACCTCTGACCAATCAAGCAGCACAATTAGCACTTCAGACTTTTGATCTTTTTGATTCTTACAGCTGATTCTAGCAAGGCTTTTCAAAATGGCAAAAAAAACTCCACCTGAAACCTTCGTCAAATGTGCCTTTGCAGTGCAAAACACACCTTCAATGAGAAATGCCTTTTTTTTTTTTACAGTATTTACAAAAATCTCCCCGCTAGGTAAAAAGGCAAAATAAATAAAAAGCTTAAGAGAGAGGAAACGCTTCTTAGGCTGCAGGCTCCTTCTTTTATCTTCCCCCCAGTCTCCCCAGCACGTGGAGCTGGCTAGGCAGGATTGCTTTTCTTCTTCTTGCTCGGGCTGTGACTGGGATCTTGCTTCAGTTCCTGGTATTGCACCTGTTTAAACAAAGACCCAGAAAGAAACTGAGTCATGTGGTGCTTGGAGCTTGCAGGAAAAAGAATGGTGTCTATTTTATTTTAAATTTTTCCCAGGGCCAACAAAAAATAAAATAAAATAAAAAAATAAAAGCAGGAAAAAGTAAACTATCCCCCTGCAAACAATGTGGGATTCAACAAAAACAGAATGAAAGAACCCAGAGTAAGAAGGAAAAACACTATTAGGGGGATTGTGCCAGGAGGCAAAATAGGAGGCAAAGGAGCTGGTGAGCATGGCTGAAATGTGGCCACAGGAGACACTCTCACCCCAGGACAGGAAAGTCTGTAGCTCTCAAAGAGGTGCCAGGAGATGCTTGGAAAAGCCACCCAGTGCTGACTCTGTGTGGGTGCAGGTCCTTGCATCAAGGGATTCTCAGCTCCAGGGCTTCCTACACACTGCCCATCCCAATCCCCCTCTGCTCTGCTCTGCTGAGACCCCCTGCAGGGCTGGGGCCAGGCTGGGGTCCCCAGCACAGGAGGGACATGGAGCTGTTGGAGAGAGGCCAGAGGAGGCCCCGGAGATGCTGGGAGGGCTGGAGCAGCTCTGCTCTGGAGCCAGGCTGGGTGTTGAGCCTGGAGAAGAGAAGGCTCCAGGGAGACCTGAGAGCAGCTTCCAGTGCCTGAAGGGGCTCCAGGAAAGCTGGGCAGGGGCTTGGGACAAGGGCAGGGAGGGATGGGAGCAGGGGGAAGGGTTTCCAGCTGGCAGAGGGAGCTGGAGCTGAGATGGGAGGGAGAAATTCTGTGCTGTGAGGGTGGGGAGAGCCTGGCCCAGGTTGCCAGGGAAGCTGTGGCTGCCCCATCCCTGGGGGTGCTGAAGGGCAGGTTGGATGGGGCTTGGAGCAGCCTGGAATGGTGGGAGGTGTCCCTGCCACGGAGGGGGGTTGGAACTAAATGATCTCTATGGTCTCTTCCAACCCAAACCAGTCTGGGATTCTGTGATTCTATCATTCAGAGGGTGCAGGAGGCTGCTTAGTACAAAATCTAGGACTTGCTACCACCTGCCAAATACTTGTGTTTTCACTCATTGCTCCTAAGCACCCTCAAAGGCACAACCAAGCTAGCAGCTAATTCCTCACTGCAAACATCTAGCAGCCTCTTCAAGGTTCAGGGACTATCCTCAGTGTGACTTATCAATGTCGTTGTGCCCCAAACTACAAAGTTGAATAAAATTCACTGCTCCAAAATCTTATTAAAAAATAAAACCAAACCCAGAAATTAACTGTGATGGGTTGACCCTGGCTGGCTGTCAGGTACCCACTCAGTACCTTCTCCATCAGCTGCTCTAGCTTAGGTCCCCCATGGGGTGCAGTCTTTCAGGAACAGATCACTCCAGAGTGGGTCCCTTTCAGATTGTGCAGCTTCCCACAGGACCCATCTCTGTGCTGCCAAAACCTTGCCCTCACAAACCCAGGGCAGTCATGGTACCACTCATCAAATTAACCACCACAATATAAGCACTTAAAAAAACCATACACACCACTTGCACATCTGATGGAACCCTGGAGAGAAAGTCAAGTAGCTCATTGTTATCAATTGCATATGGACTTCGAAGCTTCTTTGTGAATTTATTGATGCCTGCAAAAGTGAAAGTTCAAGAGTTACTACAATTAAAAAGAAAAAAAAATTGGCAAAGTTCTAAAAATGATTTTTGGATCCATTTCAATGTCTGACATTAGCACTGAATTAATCAATGAATGAACTATAAATTAAAGCTCTAAAAGTCAGAATCTGCTGCTGTGGTTCCTGCTGCTTCAAAATGCGAAAGTTCTGGAGATATCTTCAACTTCCTCCAATACTTCTTTTGGAAACTAATAGAAACTGTGGTTACTACGTGGGGGTTGTTGCAAAAAAAAGAGGGGAGTAAAGTGTGCTCCATTTCTGTGGCAGAAAGGATGAGCAGTAATGAGCTTAATCACAGGACAGAAGATTCAGGTTAGGAGAGAGTCCAGCACAGGCCACAGAGATGCTGTTGTGACTGGAGCATCTGTCTTGCTGGGAAAGGCTGAGAGAGCTGGGGTGTTCAGCTGGAGACTGAGAGGGGATCTCATCAGTCCTTATAAATACCTACAGGGGGTGTCAGGAGGAAGGGAACACTCTCTTTTTTGCAGTGTCCAACAAATGGACAAGGGGCAATGGGCACAAACTGGAGCAACGGAGGTTTAAGTCAAACACAAGGAAAAACTCCTTTCCTGTGAGGGTGACAGAGCCCTGGGCCAGGCTGCCCAGAGAGGCTGTGGAGTCTCCTTCTCTGAAGACATTCAGACCCATCTGGATGTGTTCCTGTGGGATCTGCTGTAGAGGATCCTGCTCTAACAGGCGGGTTGGACTACATGATCTCCAGAGGTTCCTTCCAACCCTGACCAGTCTGTGACTCCATGACTCTAGACACAAGGAAAATCCTCCCTATGCTAAGGATGGCAGAGCACCTGGAAAGCTGTGAAGTCTGCATCACATCAAGACTTCAGGAGGAGTTTACACACACCTGGGAATGCCAGATCCAGGTGACCTGATGGCAGAGCAGAGAAGGGATGTGACATCTGCTGTAGACATCATGATGCCTACTGACAGTCAGGGTTCAGAAGCACAAAACTCTCCCCAGACTAAGCAGAAAGCTGGCTTTTAAATTAGACTCGTTTACTTGTCATTAGACACCAAGTCAGATTCCTACACTTCTCCCAGGAGAGCCTCATGTGCATGCTGTGGGAACACATGTCTGAAACATGGACAGAAATGGAACAAACCACACAGACTCCCAGGTGAGTGGGAGAGAGCCAGGACAGTGCTAAAAATGTAATGTTGTGTGTGATTTTTCAAGGCTGTATCAGAAAAAAAGATAAAGCAGTTTATCTTCCACCACCTCTCTGGTGGCCAGGCCTTTCAGAGAGCTTTAGCAAGGACATGAAGCTCCAGGACAGTGCACAGGCTGCAGTCGTGCCTCCCATTCCATGAACTCTCAGTTCTGATGTGCAGATGGGAGACAGAGCCACCCCTTTGCCTGGTGGTTGAACAGTGAGTGTTGAGGAAGTGTCCTGTGATCCCACATCTTCGTTTAGGAAGATCCTTTGCAAGTGACTGAGAAATGCAAGGACTGCCCCAGTGTCCACCTCACGTGCCCCCTGGACCACCCACGGGTGAGTTCAGGAGTTGAGATGGTCTCACCTTGTCACATCTGACAGAGAAAAGTACCAGTCACCCTGGGAAAGTATTTACTTGGCATTAATACATCGTGGTTGAGGCTCAAAAGAAAAGAGCTCAGCAGGTGAGGTGGGACACTAGAGGACAGGAGAAGCAGAATGAGGGGATTAGGTCTTTTCCAAAAGCCTGGAAATTTTCTGATTAAGATAATTTCTTTACATTCTTTTCCACACGGGCAGCTGCAGCTGCTACCAGCACTCTGCAAATGGGATTAAGAGAGCAGGGATGGCTCCTGCTCCACCGTGGCTGAGACACCACATGTTCAAGGAGCAGCAGCCTCCACAGCCAGGAGGGCCACACGGGCAGCTGCAGCTGCTACCAGCACTCTGCAAATGGGATTAAGAGAGCAGGGATGGCTCCTGCTCCACCGTGGCTGAGACACCACATGTTCAAGGAGCAGCAGCCTCCACAGCCAGGCGGGAAAGAGCTGAGGATCTCTTGCCAGGGTGGGCTGAAAGATGCAGTCCCTATGGATACACAGAAGATAGACAGCCATGCAAAAGGCCAGCCAGAACATGCAGGAATGTTCATCTTAAAACCCCTGCCTTCCCAAAGAACAAAATGGGCAGAGGCTGCTCCAGACCTGCTCAAACTTTCCTGGGGATACAAGTCAGACAACAGAGGACACTTGATTCCATGTGCCGGATGGATGGATGGATGGGCTCAAGCAATGGATATACACAGGGGAGGCTAGAAACACACAGCAATGGAGAATCCAGGCAGGCATGTGTTTGGAACACTCCATTTTCTGAAGGGACAGCTGCTGAAGGCTCCACGCAGCACAACCTGGCCCTATGTGAACAAGTTTCACCCCAGGAAGTCTGGAGTGCAGGACCTGGCAAGAAGTCCTCAGTTCCTTCCCTCCTGGCTGTGTTTCTCCCCATGGAGACTGCATGAAATCAAGGGAACGTATGAAAGCAAGTGTAAAAGATGCCAGGTTTGTTTGAAAAGTGACAGAAAAAGGACCTAGACCAAGTACTTTGAACTTCAGTAAGAAGAGGCCTCCCATTTTATGTGCACCAGGAAGAACGAAGTTTTGGTAACAAACCAAGAGTTTGAGTTGCACCCAAACGACACAGAGTTTGTGGGGAATGAGTGAAATTCTGAGGCAGGAGAAGACACTTGCTTCTTTTAGCCCCATAACTCAAAAACTGTTTCAAATCCTCCATTTTGTATATTGTGCTACGTTTGCTTGCGAAGACTCTGTAGGAATAATACTAACACTGGCTGATACACAACAAAAATTAATTCAATGATTTTATGCTGTCTCTTGAGTTCAGAAGTTTTTACAGAGGCTGGCTTTTCCTCAGAAAGAAAATCTAGCCACAGAACTAACTGAGACAGAAGTCTGCACTGCTGAATAAGGGTATGGCTGCTGGTGGCGTAAGATGGATAAAAATGTCCAGACAAAAACCTGGAGCATTATTTACAACAGATGTGGTAATGGCAGCTGTTTAAAATCAGCATAAAGAATAAATGTAAGGACAAGCAGTGAGAGCTTGGATCAATCACAGTTCTACCCCCCCAGTTTCTGTTCATTATCAGCCAGACAAATACCACATACACCTTTTCTGTCGGACTAAAGGTGACCCTTTAAACAGGTTTCTTCTTGCTATGTTTACATACACTTTCACAAGATGAAGTACTGCAGTAAAAAAGGCATATTGTCCTAAATGCAGTATATAGATTGAAATGTCTCTGTTTGTGTATAAGTGGTGAAAATAAATCAGAGCAATATCTAGACAAAGCTACACTTTGATATATGAAGAATCCTCATGGCTACACGTTTATAGTATGATGAAGTCTAGAATGCCAGCCAAGAAAAATGCATTTTCTAGGTGGGCCTAAATCTTTATGCAGTTGTGATTTTTAACTAGCCTGTCTGTTTCCATCATGGAGCAGCTTCACAAGCATAAATACAGAAAAGCACTGACAATGTAAGTCATCCCTTAAAAACCAGTTTTTTTCTAAGTGGGACAGACAGTTAAAAAAGACTTTACTTACCCCAGGCAAGGACAATGTATCTCAGTGGAACAAAATACAGGATGATGGTGAACACGGAGAGGGCAACAATTGCCAGCCAGCTCAGGAATGGGACAGTCCAGTTGAATGTGCTAGGAGAAAGATGAACAAAAGTCAGAGCTGTGGTGACCTGACAGAGCCAACAGGACAAAAACCAGGCAGGCCAGGGGAAGAAGTGCCAGTTTTCATCAGTGGGGACAGCCTTGAAGCAGGAATTACAGCACGGAGGCTGGACTTGGACCCACTACCATTGGAAACCAAAGGTGATTTGTTCTCTTTACTTGGCTCCTGTGAGACCCCACCTGGAGCACTGTGTCCAGCTCTGGGGTCCCCAGCACAGGAGGGACATGGAGCTGTTGGAGAGAGGCCAGAGGAGGCCCCGGAGATGCTGGGAGGGCTGGAGCAGCTCTGCTCTGGAGCCAGGCTGGGAGAGTTGGGGTGTTGAGCCTGGAGAAGAGAAGGCTCCAGGGAGACCTGAGAGCAGCTTCCAGTGCCTGAAGGGGCTCCAGGAAAGCTGGGGAGGGGCTTGGGACAAGGGCAGGGAGGGATGGGAGCAGGGGGAAGGGTTTTAAACTGAAAGAGGCGAGATTTAGGTTAGACATCAGGAAGAAATTCTTCACCATGAGGGCTGGAAGGTGCTGGCTCAGATTGCCTAGAGAAGCTGTGGCTGCCCCATCCCTGGGGGTGTTGAAGGGCAGGTTGGATGGGGCTTGGAGCAGCCTGGGCTGGTGGGAGGTGTCCCTGCCCATGCAGAGGGTTGGATCTAGATCATCTCTAAGGTTCCTTCCAACCCAAACCAGTCTGATTCTGCTCAGGCTTTCTAGTTCAGCTCCTCTCTGCTCTACCATAGGACAGAGCAGCAGGGACCTTTCCCTCTGCTTGATGTGTACTTGCACTCCCCAGCCAGGAACTCTTCTGTCTTGGGGGGCACATTCAGGAAAAGACAAGTTTGTGGGTATGGAAAGCTGGAAACTTTTTCCTGCACCTAAGAAGGAGAGGGTTAGGGAAAAGAAGAGGACAGGACAATCCTGAAGACAGGGATAACACAAGTGAATGAAAGAAGGATATAAACACACTTTGGGTGGGGGAAAAAAAAAGGGAGACAAAGGATGGAAGGGAAAAAAAAAGGAGGGAGTGGCATAAGATAAAGTACATTACAGGAAAAGTAAAGGAAACCTTTATTATTCCAGATAAAATCAAGCCATATAAAGATTATTATTAATCTTATTATAAAGGAAGATAATTTCTGGGATTCCCCCAGAGGCTCAGCAGATAAGCTTTCCAAAAAAGCCCCAGATTAAAACAGCCTTAATCATCACACCATGATGAAAAACTGGTGATCATCCCATTTTTCAGAGACTGAGGAATGGGCAGAGGGGAGGTGAAAGGTGACCAGTCTTCCAGCAGCTCCCCAACCTCCCTGTGCAGGAAGAGGGAAAGGCAGGAGACCAATCCAGACGTGTGTCCCATGGAAATGCTGTCTGGAGGGAGCTTGGCTCACAGGGATTGTTCCATCAAGGTTCCACCATGTCAAAGGTGAGGAACAAGACTTATCCAGAAGGAGAAGTGTGGCTTTGGCTCTAGGCAGCCTGATGATACTCCTTCAAAGTATTACCACTAGCTCTATGCCCAATCACTGTGATTACAATGTTCAGGTTTCCCTGGCTGAATAATTGCAATTATTTTAATTGAAAGCCATATTTTTCATAATGACCTCTGGCTTCCTCTGTTTATTTGTCTTCTTTTCTCCTGGGCAATTTTGACATGTCTCCAGAGTGAACAATAGTGCTAGTGTCACTCAGTGTAGTGTCAGTTCCTTCTTCCTCAGGGGCTCTTTTCCCCTCTCCTGGGTGTGTTGGGGATGAACAGAAGGCTGAGGATCTGCTTATGTTCCTGTGGAAGGGATCACAGATATGCAATGTGTGGGAATACTGGCTCCTCGCTCAGGAAGGAAGGAAGGAAGGAAGGAAGGAAGGAAGGAAGGAAGGAAGGAAGGAAGGAAGGAAGGAAGGAAGGAAGGAAGGAAGGAAGGAAGGAAGGAAGGAAGGAAGGAAGGAAGGAAGGGTTGGAGAGCCATCCAGCACCTGTGTCAGCACTTACTTCTTGATCCTTTCTCCAAAGGAAGCTACTTCATCAAGGATATTCTGGACAGTGACACACACCTCCTGGATGGCGTAAAGTCTGTTCATAAATCCTTTTTTTTCACTGTCCTGTAGAGAAAAGGAGTAGCTGAATAAAATAATTTCTGGCTGTAGTAAAAGGACCATGTGTCCATCAGATCAGTTTCAAAAGTGCATGAGTTGCAGATTAATCTAAAAGTAACTGGGAAACTGGGCAATCCAAAGTTGTTTTTTTGTCCTTCAAGCAGCTTGTGTTGACAAAAAGTGCATTTTCATATCTATGCTGAGCACCACACCATTTTGTTTGTCCTTGCATTAGCTTTTAAATAGATACTTCTGTAAGACAGGTATCTGGTCTATAAACATGTTGGCAGTGCCAACCCCCTGTGTTGTGCATTCTCTCAAGTAGTAAGAGTCAGAAGGTGGAACAAGGGAAGTGTTTTGAAATGTTGGTTCTTGCACTGATGCAGGCACCAGGGAAACCAAAACTCCTTGGGAGGCACTGAGTGAGAAACCAGAAACTCCCCAGGTCCTGCAGACACAACCCTTCCAGATCCAATATGTGTTTTAAGTTCTCAGATGACCTCTGTCCTCCTCTATTCTACCTTCGTGCTTGGCCAGTGAGGAATATTTTTCCTTACTAATGTTCAAGTTCCACTAACGTGAAATACATGGGAGACTTCTGGAAGAGTGGCAGTGGAAGTGTGAAACAGAAGTGCTTGTGGTTTTCCATCTCAAAATCTGTAATGCTGGTTTACATTTTCTGCAGTTATTCTGAAACCTCAGAATGCAATTTATTTGACCCTAAGTGTAGAGTCAGCACCTCTAAGGGCTCTGAGTTTGGGGATGGTTGGCACAGTTTCTATTCATGTATATAGGCAAGTACTACAGTTTTATAGGATATCTGAGGAAACACTGATGTATTTGAGGTCATCCTTGGATGAACAAAGTGTATGTGAAATTCTCACTATTCTTTGCTGTGAGGGTGGTGAGAACCTGGCCCAGGTTGCCCAGAGAAGCTGTGGCTGCCCCATCCCTGGCAGTGTTGAAGGGCAGGTTGGATGGGGCTTGGAGCAGCCTGGAATGGTGGGAGGTGTCCCTGCTCTTAGCAGGGAGGTTGGAAGTGGATGGTCTCTGGTCTTTGAAAGCAAACCATCCCACAACTCTATGGAACTCCAACTGCCTTTATTGAACAGCTAGTGCAACCCATGGCTCCAGAAGCATGGAAAAGGCTAGACATGGACAAGCTGAAAGACGCAGGGGACCTGTAATTGTAGGAAATTATTTAATTACCTCCTCACTTACTCAGGTTTCTATACTCTGTTGGACTTTTCTTCATAAGGCCATCAACTTATGGTAATGTAAAAGTTTAACCACAAATTCATTTTTGTTCATTTTATCCAGATTCTTTGTATCTCTAAAAAAATGTGGGTTGTGTTTTTTTCAACAATAGAATCACCGTTTGTCCCTCAAAAGCAGGACCCACCCTCATTAAGACATTTTCTGGGGTCTTTGATAGATTTGCCATCAGCAAATACTTGTCCTCCTTTCTGCCAAGTCAAGCAAACTTTTGCCTCCAAGAAGAGCCCAACAAGGTGTTGCCCAGGTCCATCACTGCATTCCATGGACCATTCTTCAATTTGGCCTCCTCCCACTATGACAAACTTATTTCCCCAAAAGCTTTCCATCTTTAAACCCAGACAAGTTTAGCATCAAATCCACACAGAGCCAACAGCACTCTCACAAAAAATGCCTCATTAGATGGCTTTAAAATGAAACATCACCAGGGACAAAAATGACAATTTGTTTTATTTTTTTCCCCAGATGACACAAGTAAAAAGTTTATGTTCAGTGTGTCCAATGGATTGTTGCACTATTATCCTACCTAGCTGGAACTTAATCAGTGTTCTCTAAAAACTAGAAACTGAAAGAAAAAAATTTCAATATTAGCAAAACACTTAAAAAAAAGAGTCATTCACCATTTTGCCATCACAAACTACACAGTCCAACAATCTCTGTGATTGACTCCAAAGTCCAGCACCTAGGAAATCAGCATGTGTTGCATTTCATGTTTCCTTCTTCTTCTGATGCTTACTTAGCAGACAGTATATTAGCTCACCTGCTGTTGATTTTGTTGTCTTAATAAACCAGCTTGGTTGGAGAAAACATAATTTAACATTTAATCATCTGAAGCTATTTCAGCGACACTGGTTCTGCAACCGGGTTGTCAAGATGTCTCATGGAGATGCTGGAAGTTATTTAGTTACAGAACTTAGTTTGTCTAAAAAGAAACAATCCTGAGACAGACAGAGGGACAGACCAGTGGGGATGGCAAAGCTACTTCCAGGGACTGAGTGTAGTTATAAAAACAAACACTTCAGAGAAGCAAAAAACAGCCTGGTTCTCAGGCAACATGAAAGAGCTTCTCCCAAGTAATTTGTGACATTCCTTGGACATTTATTACATCCCTGAAGCCCTGGCAATGGGAGCATTTACTGTCCACAGGCATAGAGCTCCTGAGGAGGTGCAGGATATATCCAGAATGTTTCATCATCAGAAAAGGGATGATACCTGCTTTGTTGCTTCATGTGAAAAAGTAACATCTAGTACTGGAGAAACAGGAACACAACTTGTTTTCTCATACAGCAGGAGGGAACAATAAGCCATACAGAAATCTCAGGTATGTTTCTGCTTTTCAGATACACATACACTTTGCCTCTTCAGCTTCGTTTAACAGGTTTTGCTCTTTCTGTACAGTGACCTTGATTTGTCATGTAGTTGTGAGAGAAAAGAAGTACATCATTGTAACAAAACCAGTGTCCCTCATTATACCTCCAGTATTCCACTGGGATGATGCTCAGAGGTCCTGAGGCTGCTTTTCTTTACAAACATTTAACAGTATAAACTCGTACCTTTTCTTGAAAATGCATCTGCTTTAAATCACTCCCCTAAAGGCCCCCACAAAAACCCTGAAGACAGAAGGAGGCAGAGAAAAAAAACCAAACCCACTATTTCCATCCCCTTGCACCTTCTGAGCTCAAAGGAAATTTGTTGACATACTACAAGGGAGGAACAGACAAAACAGTGCAAGAAAGAGGAGGTGGTCAGAAGGATCAAGGCTTGGCTTTGCTTAAACTAATTCCACATGCACCACAACCATTAGCTGTTTTTTATTTCCTGCTCCAAAGATCTGTGGAGAAAATAATCTGAGCTAGGGAAAAGCTGCATTTATTTTCTTCCAGCAAGATGCTGTGTTAGCAAATACAACATATGAGCCACCTTGAGTGAACCAAGGTTCTTAATAATCCATTTTTCAAATACTACTGGTATTTCCTTTCTAAAGAAAGATGGGCTGTTACTGGAATAAATCTCATCATTTGTATGGCTACAATTGCCAAGTCCTGGAAATAATTGCCATTTAAATAGTAGATAAAATTTATTATACAAAGCTAACAACAGCTTTATTACTATTTAATTTCTGTGATTTGTTTGTTTGCAATAGGCTTAATTTATCTGAAAATTGAGATGTTTGCTGGAGGATGGCTTTGAGTGTAAACTGTGAAAGCAAAGTCAAATTGATGTTGATAGTCTGAGCTGAATTTATAAAACGGAATGAACCTAATGTAGAGGCTGAGGCCATGTCCTCGTCCTCCTTGGTAGGAAATGGGAGCATACAGACTGATATACTGCTTGGCCAGTAATAATACTTAGCTCTCCTACAGTGATTTTCAGCCATAACCCTAACTTACATTTGGTGAAACCAAAGCAAATGAAGTAACTGACTGGCTCGAGCCCTTGCAGAACTAATTTACATGAAACTGAATACAGCCCATGTTGTCTGAGGCTCTTTTTTTCAGTAGACTTCCAGCCTCATGACAAAACAGGATGATTTAGGAAAGGATTGTATCTCTAACCACGAAGATCTCTGTTCTCTAAGTTAAAGTGAATTACAAAGCAAGCATTTCAAAAGACAGGGAAAGGAGGAGAAATAAATAAGCCAGACTTAAAAGTAAACCATGAAAAAGTTAATGGAATTAAGCCAGTTAAAAAAAAAAAAAAACAAACAAAAAAAAAAGTTTTAAGTGAGACATTTTTAGTAAAGAGAACTCTGAACATTTTATGGCAGATAACTGTCCTATTAATAACTGCTAAGTTGGAGAGAAAGGCATAGATCATAAAGCCAAAAATTACAGCACAGTTTCAAGAACAGAAGTAAATTTTGGAATGTTTAGGAGATGCTGCCTGGGAAAGGCAGAGGCTCCAGAGGGATGTTCCAAATCCACCTTTTGTTGCTCCCGTTGGTATGACAGACCACCTCTGTACAAACAAAGTGACTGAGACAGGTTCTGAGAGGATACGGAGCCACCACTGAGAAGAAGAGTGTTCACTTGGTGTGCTCTAAGTCCTATGGCCACCAGAAGACATGTGCAGTCTTCTTTTCTCATGTCCACAACAACGCAGCCCTGCAGCTTTTGGTGAGGAAACCCTCCTGATCACCTCTTCAGCCTTAGTAACAAACCCATAACTCTCTACTACTTTAATAGGGGGATTCTACTGCCATGAGGAAACATTACTGGTTATTTTAACTGATAATTGTTCTGCAAAGCAGAGCCCATCCGTAGGCCCCGTGGTGTTACCCCAGCACGAATCTGGGCTGTGATGACCTAGCAGACCTCCCACTGGAGACCATGAAGCAGACCCAGAAGTGTCAGCTGGAAATCCATTTAGCCCTTAAAGTCAGGATTCATTAGTACCTCCCACTGAGGATGTGCAGACACAAACTGTTGAAGACCATCCTATGGTCTGGCCACTGCTCAGAAACCTGTCACTGGTGATTAATGGCCCCAGCAATTACCTCCCTGACTCTAACCCCTGCTTTCTGGGAAAGTCACTAAGAAGAATATAGAAAGCCAACAGTATTCCAGCTCTGGAGGCATTTGCTCTCCTCCAGGTCTCCTGAACCCCTACCAAAAGGCTTCAGATCTGGTGATGGATACATGGGTAAGTCATTATTTTACCATTTCCTCAGAGGAATGGAAAGAGGTCAGACAACCACAACCATATTGTTAGATTCAATCTGACTGTGGAAG